AGCTACTTGGGAGGCTGAGGCGGGGGACTCGCTTGAGCCCAGGAGTTGGAGGTTGCTGTGAGAAGCCATGGCACTCTACTCAGGAGGACAGCTTGAGGCTCTGTCTAAAAAAATTTTTTAAAAGTGTATATACCCACACAACCACAATTGAGAGAGAACACATTTCTACTAGCCCCAAAAGTTCATTCATGTCCCCTTACAACAAATGCTTGCCTCAGGCTCAGGCAACCACTGATCTGTTTTCTGTCCCAGATTACATTGAGTTTTCTTGTATTTCATATAAAAGGAATCATACACGCTCTGGTTTTGTTTCTGGCTGCCTTCACTCAACATAATATTTTTGAGACTCATTCACGGTACTGTGCAGTACATTCTTCTTTATTACTAAGTAGTAGTCCATTGTAGAGATACACCAAAATTTGTTTTCTGTTCATCTACTGATGGAGATTTAAGTTGTTTTCAGTTCTCAGCTGTTATAAATAAAGCTGCTATCAATATTTGAATACAAATGTTTCCATATATGTGTGTTAATTCATCTTGGGTAAATACTTAGGAGAATTGCAGTTATATGTGAGTTTATCTTTAACTTTATAAGAAACTATGAACTGTTACCCAAAATGGCTATACCATTTGCATTTCTACCAGCAATGTATATATATAGTTCTTGCACATATCTTGTTAAATTTATCCCTCAGTATTTCATGTTTTTGGATAGTATACTTTTTTTTTTTTTGGAGACAGAGTCTTTCTCTGTCGCCCAGTAGAATGTGGGGGCATCATTATAGCTCACTGCAACCTCCAACTCCTAGGCTCCAGCAATCTTCCCACCTTAGCCTCCCAAAGTGCTGGGATTATAGGCATGAGCCACTATGCCTGGCCAGAATTACACATTTTTCAAAACTTCAGGGTAGTGTAACGGCTTGAGCCTGTAGTCCCAGCTAATGAGGAGGCTGAGGTGGGAGGATCACTTGAGCCTAGGAGTTCAAGCCCAGCCTAGAGTAAGACACTCGTCTCTAAAACCAAAATTAAATAAAAAATAAAACTTCAATTCCCAATTACTCACTGCTAATATAGAAACACAAACCATTTTTGTATATTGACCTTATACTTGTAATGTTCCTAATTCACTTAATAGTTCCAGTAGCTTTTATGTAGACTCCTTGGGATTTTCTAGGTACATAATCATATCACCTGGGAATGCGGCAGTTTTGCTTCTTCACTTCCAACCTGTATTTCCTTTTCTTGGATTATAACATTGTCTAGAACCTCCATTACAATAGTAAATAAAAGTGGTTAGAGCCACTTTCTTATTTGTTAAGTAATTGTCACCTCATTTTCCTTTAAACCTTTAAGTATAGTTTCTTTTAATTTCTTTTCTTTTTTTTTTGAGACAGAGTCTCTGGATGGTGCCCTGGCTAGAGTGCCATGGCATTGTTTAGCTGGCCCGGGCTGGGTTCGAACCTGCCATGCTCGCTGTATGTGGCTGGCACAGTAACCACTGTGCTACGGGTGCTGAGCCTTCTTTTAATTTCTTAAGCATATTTTAAACAGCTGCTTTGAAGTCTGCCCCTGCTAAATCTAACAGCTGGGCCCCCTCTGAAATAATTTCTAGTAACCACTTTTTTTCCTTGAGCATGGGTCACACCTTGCTGGTTCTTCCTTGCAAGTCTTATATTTGGTTGAAAACTGAACATCTTAGATAATATATTGTAGTAATTCTAGATTCTGTTTTAATTTCAGATGCAATGCTGCATCAGAATTTTTAGTAAGTTCCCTGTACATAAACTGCAGAATCTGACTTCCTCATAGTATGGTGCCACTCTGCTCAATGATATCTCTGCTCATTTTTCTTTTCTTTTTTCTTTTTTTTTTTTTTTCTCGGAGTCTATCTTGGTCACCTAGGTAGAATGCTGTGGCGTCATCATAGCTCACAGCAACCTCAAATTCCTGGGCTCAAATGATGGGACTACAGATGCCCACAACGATGCCTGGCTACTTTTTTTTTTTTCTATTTTTAGTAGAGACAGAGTCTCCATCCTCCTCAGGCTGGTCTTAAACTCAAGCAATCCAACAGCCTTGGCTTCCCAGAGTGGATTATAGGCATGAGACACTGTGCTGGCCTCTGCTCAGTTTTTTTATTTTTATTTTTATTTCAGTCTGGCTTTCCAGGGATCACTCCTATGGCTGCATAATTGAGTAATCGGCCAGTGACTTGGACAGAGGCTGCTCATAGACCTTGAGCCCATTAAGCGTTGCCCTCTGCCAGTCAATCTGTGTGTTGCTTAATAACTACATTCAAAGTTGCAGCTAGCCCCCAAGTCCCTTAATTGTTACCTTTTATCAGGCTTAGGGTCCCTCCTGCACATGCAGGTAGTTTCCCAGTCAGCCAGGGACATGTAGAGTTTATTTCAGCCCTGCCACAGCTCTCTTATTTTCAAAATCTTCCCATTAAATTCCTGGCAGGTCCACCACTCACTCCAACAGGCATTGCAACACTGGGCTAGCGAATCTGTGGATTCCTTCCATTCAATCCTAACAAAGTTTGCCACTTTTAGTTGGCAAAGCTGTGAGTTTTCACCCTCTGCCTCAGATCAAGTCTACCCCCTTTGGCAGAAAAGTTGCTAGTTTTCATGTTCCACCACTCACTGGTAAAACTGCAATTCTTGTCACCAGAGCTGAGGTAACGGAGGTAAGAACAGATGGAAGATGTCCCAAAAAGACAACCACAGACTTCCCTCGTACTCAAAGCATGACCAGCTTTTTAAGAATATATTCTCAATTTGTTTCTGTCTCTCTT